CTACCAAACGGACCTCTCACGCGCGCTTGTCGGAATTGTTTGAGCGCCCTTTACGGGCATGCTGTCGCAATGGCGCCTTGCAACAAGTCGGACGAAGTGCACGCGCGCGCGTCGTCGCGCACGCAAGCCGAATTCCTTCAAGCATTTTTAGGTTTCGCAGGGATTTCAACATCGAGTGTCCCGACACCATGCGAACAGCACATGGTCTTGCTACATCAGATGTCAAAAATGCTTGCACGCGCGCTCCTGCAAAGAAGCCATCGGTTGTTTTTCAACGTTGTCATCCATTTCGGCCAATCGGGCCCTTCGTGCCGCACGTCGAAATCATTCCAGCGCCCTTGCGCGCGTGCGGGGGGAGGTGGGGCACGATCCGTGCCGAATCGTACGGTGCGGGCCGCTCTGGCGCGTCGGCCGCGCGCGCACGTCGAACCCCTTCAACGCCTACATCGCCGACGCGAGGGCGCCGTCGTCGTCGTCGGCCTGATTATCATCGGCGCCGTCACTGGCCTTGCCGCCGTCGTTGCCATCATCGTCGCCAGCCTCGCTACCATCATCATCGCGTCTGCCGTTGTCGACGCTGCCTAGGTAGAGCGCCCGCTCAAGTCGCCGACTCGCTTTGAAGTGCCCGCCGGGAGCTGGCCAGCGGTCCTCGCCGCGGCGGCCACGTCGGTAGCGCCAAACTATCTTGCCGCTGCTCGCGCGAGCGTGCGTGGGCTAGCGCGGCCGCAGGGATGCACCAGCCGATTCTAAACACTCATCGCAATCGCAGTTCACATACGATTCTGGTCTATCGCCCATCGTAAGCACGAATCCGCACCATCCCAGGCAGGCCACTGTCGCCCCCCCTTTCCTCAATTGCAAAAAGTAGTATGCGCGCGCGCCCTTTCATCACAAAGCAATGGGTATCAAAGCATCCCCCGCAGCAAATGGACGAAGTGTTCGCGCGCGCGCGTCGTTGCGAGCGCCTGCCGAAATCCTTCACAAACTTCACTTTTTTCGTGGGGGTTTCAAGGTCGGTTGCCTGGAAACGTGTAAGTTACGCATCGCTTCGCAACAATATTTTCAAACTAGCAAAAGTCAGCGCTCGCGCTCCTGCGGCTTCTTAAAGCAGCCATGGTTTTTCAATGTTTCCGCGGGTGCAACCAAACGTGCCTCTCGCTCGCGCATGTCGGAATCATGCGCGGCAGATGGGGCGAAGCGCATGCGCGATGACGCGCGCGCGTGCCGAAATCTTTCAATCACCTTGGGTTCCGCAGGGATTTCAAAACTGAGCGTCCCGCAAACATATCAACAACACGTAGGTTTGCAACATCAGTGGTCACAGGAACTTGCGTTCGCGCTTCTGCGAATTCATCATGGGAAACATCGGTTTCCAACATGTCATCAATTTCTGTCACGCGGCCCCCCCCGCGCCGCATGTCGAAACCATTCGAACGCCCTTGCGCGCATGCGGGGGGGGGGGGGGGGGGGCACGATCCGTGCCAAATCGTACTATGAGGGCCGCTCTGGCGCGTCGGCCGCGCGCGCTTGTCGAACTCCCGCCCAACACCTTTATTGCCGACGTGAGGACGCCGTCATCGTCGTCGGCGCGATGAGCATCGGCGCCCTCATTGGCCTTGGGGCCGCGTCGGTGCCGTTATCATCGTCGTTGGCGTGACCAGCGTCGGCGCCGCGTCGGTGCCCGTTGGGAGCTGCCCAGCGGTCAGCGCCACCGCGGTCGCGTCGGTTAGCGTCAACTAGCTGGCCGCTTCGCGCGCGAGCATGCGCGGGCTTACGCGGCCGCGTACATATACCGACTAACGCCAACCACTCGTCGCAATCGCCGCCGGATGGGTTTTGGAAACCAAGTTGCGGTTGTGTGGGTGAGATGGTTGCGCGAGCAGTGGAGTTCGCAGTTCCTTAGGATCAGGATTTAGTTGCATAACATGTATTGCGCCACGGAGATTGCACAGCATTCGTTGTACCATACCGATTGTGCAACACTATACGGCACCACGATTTGCAATTTACATATGATCCTGACCCACTGTTCATCCTACCTTTGAACTCGTACTATCCCAGCTAGGCCGGTATCGCCCCCCCCCGCCATCCCATGCAACAAATACTATGCGCGCGCACTCGTGTATCAAGAATCATAACATGCCAAGGAACCCTTGCAAGACATGAGGCGAAGTGCGCACGCGCGCGCGTCGTCGCGTGCGCATGCCGCAATCCGTCATACACCTCAGGTTCCGGAAGGATTTCGACACCGAGTTTCCAATCAGCATATAAAAACAGGGTTTCGCAACGCGGGTTTTCAAACAAAACATGCGCGCGCTGTTTTGCGAACCCTTACGAAAGCCATCGGTTTTCAACATTTGCAGAAAATGCTATCAAATGGGTTTCGCTCGCGCATATCGAAATCGATCGAACGCCCTTGCGCTCGTGCTGGGGTGGCACGATCCGTGTCAAATAGTACCATGCGAGCCATTGTCGGGCGTCTGCCGCGCGCGCATTTCGAATCGCTTCCAAAACCTTCATCACCGACGCGAAGACACCGTCATCGTCGTCGGCGTGATCGGCATCGGCGCCGTCAGCATCGTCACCAACATTGCTACTATCATCACCATCGTGTCTACACTTGTCGACGTCGCATGATACCGCACCCGCCCAAGTCTCCGACTCGCATTCAAAGGCCCGCTGGGATGTGCCGAGCGGTCAGCACCACCGCGGCCGCGTCGGTCGCGCCAAACTACCTGGCCGCTGCGCGCGCGCATGGGCGGGCTGGCGCGGCCGCAGGGATGCACCAACCAGCGCCAAGCAGTCATCGCAATTGTCGCCGCATGAGGTTTGCAAACCAAACGGAGGGTGGGTGAGTGGGATGTTTGCGCGAGCAGTGGGTTGGACAACTCAGTGCCAACATCTTTTAATTGCACCGCGTAGTTTGAACCACCAATATGGGACACCATAGATTGCGCATCCGGTATATTTCACCACGACCTGCATTGCACCACCTCGCCGAAACCGGATTGAAACCTTCACCTTCACGTGTGGTAATTTGCATATGTTGCAGCGTCTTCGCTCATTCTCCGCATGAGTTCATACCATCCCAGCCTGGCCCGTATCGGCCCTCCCCGCCATCCCGTCAAATGATACAGGACAGTGCGTGCGCATCCGTTCATGAAAAAACGTGAGTTCCGAATTCTGTAGCCATTTGCCCGATGCAGATTTGGCCGATTCCCCCGGGGAGCCGCACGTGGAGCTGCTTATGGAGCTTGTGAGGGCGTCAGCTATTTTGACGTTTCTGGTGCTGCTCTGTTGCGCCGTCATCGCTGTCTTGGCTTGCTTCTGGGGTGCAGCATCCGTCGGGCTTGGAAACGTATACCGTAACTCACTTGCCACGTCCACGTCTACGTCCACGTCCACGTCCACGTCCACGTCCACGTCCACGTCCAAGTCCACGTACGTGATGCGAATCCAGATTTGGCTCTTGCTTCCACGTCCAAGCTTCAACCTGGGTCTCCTATTATATCATCCTGCTCTGGCAAGCTTCCAAGAAAGTTTCACCGCAATGGGAGCGGACGTGAGCATTGCTGGTCGTTCGGACATCGAGCTCATCAAGGCCCAGCTCGCATCCACATCATCACTATCGGAATCGCATTGGGTTGTGATTTTCCCTTGTGATGGCGAGGACGCTTCGTGGCTTCAACTGCAGGAGTGTCGCAAACGTGGCGCGCGACTGGTTGTTTACAATACGGAACCAGGCTATCCGGGCCAACCCCAGAAAATTACTCAACTTGCCAGCAACCTTGGCGCAGCTGAGATTTGGGAGTATTCGCGGAAGAACCTGCTATATTATCAGAGCACCACTCCTGCAGTTGCACGGTATGTTCCGCCTCATTATTCGCATTCTTTGGATTACGGTATTGATTTGGACGGCGGCATAGTACATAACAATTATTCGGTATGCCTTCTTCAAAGTAGAACATCCCGGGATTCCAGGATCATGAAAGCAGTAGCCAAGCTTTTCCCAGGCTCATTGCGGGAGCTACATGTCGACCCATCCACTGCGACACTCTCGACCATGAGAAGCGCGTTCATGGATTGCGCGATAGGTCTAAACTTGCATGCGTTAAGCGGAGACCGATCTGTAGGACAAATGGAGTCGTTCCGAATGGCCCTTTTCCTTTCAAACAAAATGTGTGTGATGTCCGAGGGTCTTGACCCAGCGGAGATGCCGATATGGGACGGCCTCGTGCAGACGCCAGGTGTTTGGAAGCCAGATTTGGAGTCACGACTTGCAGGTTTGGAGCAGTTATCCCTGCGCGTGCAAGAGCTCAGGGAGGACTCCGTAAAGCTGGCAGAGTGCAGACGGACATCGCATGAGTTGTACAAGCAGCGTTTCTCCAGCGAGCAGGTGTTTTCGGCTGCAGGTATAAACGCTACGATATTGAGGAACCGTCCCAACGAGAGGCATCATTTGTAGAGCCAAAGTTTTTTGAGCGTTCGCAGGAGGTCTAGGGCTTGGCTCTTAATCATTAGTCTGTGGGAGGGCTTGCCAGTCAAGCCTGTTTTTATCAAGTGTGGCCAGGGCCTCTTTATGTTCGATACTTTGGGGCAAGGCTCGCCAGTTGTCTGGCGGCCGTTCCAGGCAAATACTTTTTACCAACGCTTTGGCCGAACGTTATGATACGTGTCTGAGACATGCGCTGCGGTCTTGTGAAGTGCCCCATATCGCGAGAGATGTGGCGTTCAGGTGCTCTGTAGTAGAGACTGGCATCGATTGCCAGCGTGGACTTTAACCAAGAGATTCTCCCCGTCACGAGCATCATCCCATGTACATCATCTTGCGTACCGTGGAATTTTCGCGGCGCAACGTCACATGCAGAGAATGCGGCATGCGGCAGCGGTGGCGACGACTGCGGCGCCGACGACAAGGCGGTGGCAAGGGTGACGACCGCTGCGGCGGCTGCGGGCGCGACAGCGATCCGCAAAAGCTCCCTGGGGGCGGGCGGCTCGCGCAGGTCATGGGCGACACGCTGCTGCTGATCCTGCCGCTGTGGACGCTCAGCGCCGCCGCCGCCATCGTCACCGCTGCCGCAGCCGCCGCCGCGGCCGTTGTCGTCGTCGCCGTCGTCGTCGTCGGCGGTGGCGTCGTCGCCGAGTATTCCCCAGAAAGTGCTTGCGCTTGATTAGGGGTTCGTACTCGTTTGTCTAATGGTACTGGGCCTGCGTGTCCGTCTGGCTGCTGTGCCGTCGCCGTCGCCGCCACGTCGCCGCCTCGTCGCCGCCTGTCTTGTGAGCCTGCGGGCCGGCCTGGCGGCTGTGCTGTCGCTGTCGCCGCGGTGTCGCCGCCTGGTCGCCGCCCGTCATCATGTTGTTGTCGTCGCCGCGCAGTTGCCTGGGCTGCGTTGCTTCGCCTGGATGCCGCCCGTCGTCTGGGCCTGCGTTGCTTCGCGTTGCTTTGCATCGCTGTATTGTGTCTTACATTGCCTTGAATTGTGTTGCATAGTTTTGCATTGCTTATTATGGCGTTGCATTGCATTGCTAAGTTCTGCCGTGCTTTTCATTGCTTTGCATTGTCGTGGGTCGCTTTGCATCGTTTTGCATCGCTCTGCATTGCTCGTATTTCATTGCGCCGCATTGGAATTACACTGCTTTTCAGTCGCATTGCATTGCTTGGCATTGCGTTGCGCCACATTTGCTGCACCGCGTATATCGCAGCACATATATTTCACCACATGTATTTCTCCATATATATATATATATGTATTGCACCAGCTACGCTGCACCACATATATTGATTGCACCACACAGATTGCGCCAAATATATTGCACCACGTACATTGCACCACAGATTTCACAACATGTATTGCACCACATAAGTCGCACCACACTGATTGCACCACACGGACCGCACCCTACATCTTGCGCCACGGATATTGCACATGAACGATTGATCCAAATATAGTGCACCTCATACATTGCACCACCTAGGTTGCATCACATATCTGGCACAACACAGATCGCGCAACATCGATTGTTCAACATCAATCGCACTACATAAATCGCACCGCACAGCTCGCCTCACATATATTGTTGTACGCATAGGCTGCACCACAAACGCACATACCGGAGGTTGGGGGGTGAGATCGAAGTGGAACGGAGAGCCCCCCTACCGGGAAATCGGTTTCGGTTTCGTGTTCGTGCGTGCCGTGCGTGCGGGCGAGGCGAAGCTGCGTGGGCGGGCGAGAAGAAAGTCTCCTCTTTAGGATGATTCAAGGATCCTGTAGGGAAGGAAATCTATTCGCCAGTGAGATTTTTAACCGGAAATTCAAAAATTATGATTTTCTATTGTTTATTCAGATTTTACATTGTTTATTTGGGTTTTTTCATTGGAAATTCATTTTTTAAAATTTATTCCATTTATTAATTAATAGTTTGAATTTATGTGTTTTTTTGTTGCTTGTTTTTGTTTAAAATATCTGGGTTTATGAGTGTATCGGGCCCCTCTCCCCCTCCCTCCTCCCATCCTTGCGGCCGCTCTCCGCAGGTCAATTCCGGCGCATCTCTCGCACGCTCCGTGGCCCCATAATGAGGGAGCTCCGGTGAAGGTCCCAGTGGCAGTGGCAGGGTCCACCAGCGCCCAGGGAAGGAGGAGGGGGAGGAGGAGGAGGAGGAAGAGGAGAAGGAGGAGGACGAGGAGGAGGAGTAGGAAGGGGGGGGGGAGGAGGGGGAGGAGGAGGAGGGGGAGGAGGAGGAGGAGGAGGAGAGGAGGAGGAGGAGGAGGAGGAGGAGGAGGAGGAGGAGGAGGAGGAGGAGGAAGGGGAGGAGGAGGAGGAGGAGGAGGAGGAGGAGGAGGAGGAGGAGAGGAGAAGGAGGAGGAGGAGGAGGAGGAGGAGGGAGGAGGAGGAGGAGGAGGATGAGGAGGGGGGGGAGGGGGAGGAGGAAGACGAGGAGGAGGAGGAGGAGGAGAGGGAAGAAGAGGAAGAGGAGGAAAAGGAACACGGGAAAAGGGGGAAGAGGCGTCATGCATGCGTTCTCGCTCCTTGCTGCTGCGTTGGTTCGAGCAGCGAGCACGTGTTGCCGCGCTGCGCGTTCGCAGCTCCCGTTGCCGCTGCCCCTGGCAGACGCCATGGCCTGGGGTGGTTGGTGGAGCGGGGCGTGGTCTTCCGACGGCGACTGGCGGTCCTCCGCCTGGGCCTCCGACAGCGGTTGGCGGAGCGCCTGGCGGTGGCCCTCCGCCTCGAGCAGCAGGGCCGCTGCCGCGGAGGCGGAGGCGGAGGCGCACGCCGCGGCTCCATGGCGCGACGAGGGGGGGGGCCATGGTGCAGCCGAGCGCGCCGGCCCCTCCCAGAGCGTTCCGCCGTGGGAAGCCAAGGGTTTCGCTTCGGCGAGGCACAAGCGGGGCGGCAAGAATCGGGAGAGCAAGGTGAATCGGCATAGTTTGCAAATCGGGCCCGCCATGTTCCTGTCACGCCCTTCTCTCTCCTTCATGTCCCCCCCCCGCCGACTCGCAGGTGAAGTGGCGGCTGAAGCACTGGTTCGGGGGCGTGCGCCAGGGGCTCCCAGAGCAGCCGGGCCCGCCGCTGCCAGAGGAGCCGCCCACGCCTGGACCGTCCGAGGCCGAGCAGTCCATGGAGCTGGAGCTGGCGAGCCGCGCGCCGCCGCGCGCGGAGGAGCAGGGGCGGTTTCCCATCGCTGGCCGAGCACTGCTTCTTTCCGCCATCAACGAGCGGATCGAGGTTCTCCTTGGGCGCCGCGCCCCCCCGAGGGGGCCCCCGACGCCGATGCAGCCTTGCCCTTGGTCGCCTTTGGGCGTGCCCGACACCGCGGCCGACGACTTGCGCACTCTCCTGGTGTTCAGCACCTCTGAGCCGTGGATCCACGGCGAGTCGGCCGCCCCGCAGCTTCTCCTCGGGCCCTGGTCGGAGTGCGGGGCGCCGCCGTCGCTCGAGCACGCGCCTCCGACGCCGTTGCTCGCGCTGCCGCCCGCCCCCGACGCTGGCCAGGAGATGTCGACGGGGCCGCCTGGCGCTGTCGGCGGCCAAATCCCCATCGCGACGATCGCGGCCCAGTCTGGTGCTGCCGCGCGCGCCGGGGCTGCTGCTTCGTCGTCAGGGCCGCCTGCTGCGGCGCCGCTCGTGGTGGAGGGCTCCGACACGGAGGCGGACGCGGAGGTGGACAGTCCGGCGGGCCCGCCCGAGCCTGCGTCGAAGAGGCGCGTCGTCCGAGACAGCGCCGAGGCCGAGGCCTTCGCGTCGCTTGCGGCCGACTGGGAGACTGCGCACCAGAGAACGAGTGGCGCTGCAGCGCGCGCCGTTGCAGGACAGGCCCGCCGCAGAGCTGCCAGAGCCTTCGCGACCGCGGAGGTCGTAGCGGCTGGGCTTCCACCGCCGCCGCCGCTGGCGCCGCCGCCGCCGCTGGCGCCGCCTGCCGATGCGTCGGCGCCGCCCCCCGTGCCCGACGGCGCGGGGGCGGGCGCCGTCGCCGTGGACTACGCGGACACGGGGCCAAAATTCGAGGGCGACGAAGCCGAGTCTGATTTTTGACGTTTCCGATTTCGATTTCTATCGAGTCCGCTCGATTCTGAGTCCGCTTCCGAACGCGTCTGACGGGGCTTCTTCGAGGAGCCCGAGTGCCGAGCGATTCCCGTCGGGCCCGCGTTCGATCCGATCCCCAGCGCGATCGATTCCGATTCCAATTGGCTCCAATAGATTCCGCCTGATCGATTCCGACCACACCTCCACCCCGTTCGACTCTGGTCGTCGTGGAAATCGACCCATTCCCAAGGGGAGGGGGTTGGGGAGGTTATACTGGAATCAGGCATGATGGGGGTCAGGAAGGCCACGGGAAGACCAAGGGAGAGTCCTCGCCTGGCCCCCCCTCTCAGTCACAGGTGCCGCGCGGGAGCCCAGGGGAGCCGCTCCACTTCGAGGAGGTGTCCATCCACGTTGTGCTGCCTGTACCTGTGGTGGGCACGCCCGTGGGGTACTGTCGCATGCAGGACGACCACCTGCAGCTCAATGCAGGCGGCAAGTACCAGCGGCCGTGCGTTGTCGTGCAGGGGCTCTGGAAAACGGGGACGCACGCCCTCCACAGTTACATGGAGCGGCACTTCGACGTCGAGGTGCGCAAGAGCAGGTGGGACGGGTGCGTCTCCTTCAACGGCCGCCACGTGTGGAAGCACGACCTGCTCCTCACGCCGTTGGAGTTTCCGCCAGAGGATGAGCAGGGCCGCCCAGTGGTGGTTCTGGTGTGCACGCGCGAGCCGACCAGGCGGCCGACGGGTCTTTCGGGCCAATGGTGCAGCAGAAGCGCGCCAGCTTTTGAGGTATCAGCCTGCCTGCCCTCCCGTCTTCTCACTTCCCCCAAACTATCATGCCATGCTGCTCTCGCAATCCCCCTCCCCCAGGTGGATCAGGGTTATGTCGAAGGGCGCCTACGAACTGATGCCGAACTCTGCCAGCGGCACGAAGCGGGTTCGGAGGATGGGGGACGTGAGTTGGCTCTTGCGGGGGCCGAGAGACGAACCTGTGCACGTCCGCTGGCCCGCCTGGGCGAAAGGCCGCGTCGATTGCGATCCAGAGTTCGAGGATGCGTTCGACTTGTGGTGCCACTACATGGCCGCAGTGCTCCACGGTACTGGCGTGGGCAGCCCGGCGTCTCCAACCCATCGCGTCCTCGTCGTGCGGCACGAGGACCTCGTGTGCAGGCCCGAACTCGTGCTGAATGAGCTCGTCAGGGCTGGCCTGCAAACCAAGGGGTTGCCGTTTCATCCAGAGCGCAGGCTTCTGGGGGGCCACCACGCCGACAAGGGGCGGGCGGTGGAGGCGCTGAGGGAGGAGGTGCAAACGCCAGTGACCCTGGACGATCAGATGGTCGATTGCATGGTGTCGAGGGCTCAACGGTACAAAGGCTTGTTTGCCACTTGCTGGTACCCGCCCGCCGACGGCAAACTTCCAGTCGACCACGTGAGTGTCGAGGATGTTTATAAAGTTTGCGGAGCGGCGTGATTTATCTGTTTCCCGCGAGCTGTCCAACTAGCAGGCAGCCCCCGCCACCTGTTCATTCCTCTTCGCCTCCTCTGGTGCAGCATCAGCGCGCTTCTCCCTACTCCCTCTCCTGGTGACGGCCTGCAAAGCAGCCGCGCCCGAATTGCTGGCATTTGGAACGGCGCCAATTCGCTGCGGATTATTCCTTTGAGAGCTTCGTGCGCAACGTTCGCACATGAAAAAAAGAAGATGTCGGGTGACAGAGCACCCCCAACGAGGTGGGGAACCCTGGGCTGACAGAGCCCCCCAACGCGGCCTGGGGAAGCTTGCAGAGGTTCCAAGAGGCACCAGTGGGCTCCAAGACGGCCCCGAGAGGACGCCGAGTAGGCTTCAAGAGGTTCCTCCCCCAAAATTACCCCAAGGGTATCTGTAGAGGGCTTCCCGAGGTCGTCGTCGTCGTCGTGGTCGTGGTCGTGGTCGTCGTCGTCGTCGTCGTCGTCGTCATCGTCCTCGTCCTCGTCGTGGTCGTCGTTGTCATCGTCGTCGTGGCCGTCGTCGTCGTGGTCGTCGTCGTCGTGGTCGTGGTCGTGTTCGTCGTCGTTGTCGTCGTCGTGGACGTCGTTGTCGTGGTCGTGGTCGTCGTCGTCGTCGTCGTCGTGGAGCCCGTCGTGGTCGTCGTCGTCGTCGTCGTCGTCGTCTTCGTCAGCGGACATATTTCCTCCTTTGCGGTTGTGGCGCACCCCGCGGCTGCGGCGGCTCATGATTGAAACGACTGTTTTGAATGCGTTTCCTGCCGCGCCGCGGCGACTAGGAGGAAGGGAGGGGGAAGGGAGAGGGAAGAGAGGAGGAGGGGATGAGGAAGGGAGGAGGAAGGGAAGAGGAAGAGAGGAGGACAGGAGGAGGAAGGGGGGCCAACGGGGGGAGGAAGGGAGGAGCAAGGGGGAAGGGAGGAGGATTGGATGAGGACGGGGGGAGGACGGGGGGAGAAAGGGAGGAGCAAGGGAGGAGGAAGCGAGGTGGAAGGGAGGGGGAAGAGACCAGGACGGGAGGAGGATGGGGAGAGAAAGGCGAAGGCTAAGGTACTCACTATGTGGTCACTCCGTGCGGCGAACGGATGCTGGGGGCACCCCCGCTTCAAAGGTGGTCGTTGCAAGACGTTGTAGCGCCAGGCCGCCTCGAGGAAGAGGGGGGGGGGCGCGGGAGGAGGAATAAGTAACGAACGCGGAGGAGAGGAGGAGGAGGAGGAGGAGGAGGGGAGGCGCAGGAGAAAGCAGACTGCTGTGAGTGACAAGCCAGGGAGCACCCCTGCTCATTACCCGACGCTGCCTTCCGCATGGTGGCAAGCGTCATCGGTGGCGCCCGTGACCGCTCGAGAAGTGACGCGCGGGCCCGCGTCGAGCAAACCGGAGAAGGAGGAGGAGGGATAGGAGGAGGAGGAGGAGGAGGAAAAGGAAGAGGAGAAACCTAGCAGGAGGCTGGGGGCCTCTATCGTGTGAGCCGTGCATCTGTAGTCCTTGTGGCTCCAGCGCGCTGGTGGTCATATGCCCGAATGGATCTGTTCGCAGCTGCTCGGGGCACGTTGGGTCGCCTCGTGGGCGGCGATGGGCTCGGGGCTCGAGGTGCAGCAGAAGCGCGCCGCCCAGGGCCCCGCCCAGGCAGGCGCGGCCTGGTGCCTCTGGGCGCGGCTGCCGCTGCAGCTCGTCGGGCTAGGGGCGATGCGCGGCTCCAGCTGGACATGGAGCTGCAGGCGCAGATGGCCACGCGCCATTTGGACAATGCCAAGCGACAGGTGGACGTGATGGGGGAGGGGCAGGAAGGCCCGCGCAAGAAGTCGCCAAGATTTCGCTGGGATCAGTGGCTTCCTCGGACAATGCTCCGCGCAGTGTTCAGCAAAGAGAATCTGCGGATGGCTGCTAGCAGCGTCGCCAAGGTTTTCAGAGGCACCGGAATCAAAGGCAGCCATCTTTTCGTTCGCCAATTGAGATCGGCTTTGGCGGAGCTTTATTGCGACAGCCAACGTGTTCAAATAGAGCGCCAAGTGCTCAGAGCGCCTGGGACAGAACACAATTGGTTGGTTATGCATCTGCAGTGGGGCGAAACCAAGTTCACTGTGCAGCTGAACGACGGCAAGCCTCCTTGTGGGCAGCAAGTGATGACACAGCACGGCGTGTTGCATTGGGAAGACGAGGACCTCCGCGTCCACAGCCAAGAGCTTATCTTCCCACCGTCCGTGCTGGAATCTGCAACCGCCGACTGCATGCTCGGAGGCCTCGCGCGGGCGTTGCGCGTGGATATGGATGAGCTCTGGCCGTCGGCGCTGCTGGCGTGCTTGTCCCCGAGCGTCGATTCTGTGGCCGCAAACGGGCTGGTGTGCAAATATTTGCTGCAGACGTTGCCCTGGTGGGTCCTCCTGTTGCCTTCTTTTTGTTTGCAGCATCAAACCGCAATATGTTTGCAGTCGGTCGGGGACATGACGGGGGTCGTCGGCGGCATGTTTTCCACTGTCAGACACTTGCAAACAGGGGCCAACTTGCGGGCCCTCGAGACAGCTCTGCGGCAAATCCTGTCGGACGAGGAGGCTGGTCTGGAGGTGCGGCGGGGCGCGCCGAATCCAGCGGACAGGGGGAAGCTCGACATGCTGCTCGGGTATTGCGACCGCCAGATGGATGAGGACGTGGAGGACGAGGAGGTGACAGCGGCGCGCGGCCAACGCAGAGGCCTCACCAAGCCAGAGGTCGACTTGATCAAGGAGATGTTCACCGGCGACGTGTCTCAAGAGAGGCCTGTGCACCATTGCAGGGGCCGCGACTGCTGCGCGAACAGGCAGGAGTCTGTCGACAGAGCGGTGGCGGCGGTGATGGTTCCTTTGCGCAGGCGTTTGGCAGTGCCCGCGTTGAACCGCTGGAACACTGTGCATCCCACCGCGTGCGTCTTGCTGCTGTTGATCTCCTTGCATGGATTGCTGCCGCGTGCGCTCGAGAAGACGCGCGGCGCTGCTGTGCGCGCCATGCGGCGGGAAGATGGCGGCCTCGAGAGCGGCAGCGGCGCAGCGGGCCTGGGGGATTTCAGGCGTGAACAGCATGTTCGCACCGTCAAGATGATGAGGTTTCTCTCCGATCTACTTGCGCGGCAACGGCTGGTCCTGTGGGTGGCCGTGGCCGCCGTGGGGATGCGATTTCATTACGCATGTTTCAAACGTGGGTCTTTGCATGGCTGGCTCGACCCCAAGGGGTCTGCGCTGTCGTCATTCTGCAAGAGCGTCGTCTTTGACACGCTCGCTCAGCTGAGCTCAGCCTTTGACCCCGCTGCAGCTGGACATTACGACTTGTGGAGATTGCCGCTTGCCCTGCACGGCCCCCTCGCGTCCTGGCCCGGCGAGGTCCTCCGCGAAGCAGACGCCATCGTCCACGTATTCACTGGGTCCTTTTATCGTCGCTTCGACATTCGTTTGAGCGGTTACCCATGGTCATGCGGCTCGTGGACGCCTCCCTGGACATGGGGGCCCGCCGCGCAGAAGGCGAAGAACTCTTTCGGGCAAACGAGTGTTGCCTGGACTCGGGGTTCTCCTTGAGGCTGAGGAAGATGTGCACCACGGGCGTTGACGACCTTTTCCTGCCAGAGGTGCAGCGCTTTCTCTCCGCATGCTTTAGGTACGCGATGGCCTCGACGGTGCATTCCGAATTGTTGGCGTTGCGCAGATCCCCACCAGCCCATCCAGAAACGTCGCCCAGGCGAGTTGGCTTTTTCACGGCTGCGGTCTGCGACCCTAGGGGCCGTCTTGGGCCATTCTTGACGCTCTAACCTATTGCGGGCCCCCGCGCCCAGGTCCTGGGGAGGGGGCGCGGGAGAGGGGTAGACCCCTCCGCAAACGGGAAAGAATGGGGGTTGGAAGAGGAATCTCCCTAGACCACTTGCGCCCTGAAGGGCGCGTGGGATTGGCTTTTGCGCGGATGAGAGCCCACCTCCAGACGATGAACAACAGACCTCCGAACGCCGCGACGCTCTCCGCCAAGCACGTGATCTCCGAGGTTGTTCGCTGTCACGAAGAGGGGCGGAGAAGGCGCCGCGGGCGCGACTTGCGCACCAAGCGGGGCCGACTCCTGCAGAAGAGCGGCCACTCGAAACCGATCTGGGCCCAAGGCAAAGGAGGCAACCAGCGGCGCAAGAGGTTGGGCCATTATATGTTTTACCACCGTCGCGTGGCTGATCTGCGAGATTCGCAGCCGCGGGCGCCATGGGCAGACCCGAGAGAGTACGAGCGGCGTCTGTATCTACAGGCGGCCGCGGACTGGCGGGCTGCATCCGAGGCCGAGAGGCGAAGCTGGAGAGAGGCGGCTCGGCGCGCGAACAAGGCTGAGAGGATGAAGCCAGACCCGCTGCACGAGTACGTGCGCATCTGTCGCGACCACGTTGACCAGTCGGACGAAGCTGCTTGGCCTTGGGGTCTCGGCTCAGACGAGTTCCCCTTGTCCGAGGACCTTGTCTCCGCAGCCGTGCAAGCACATGTCGATGCGAAGCTGAAGAGGGGATCCTTCGTGGAAGCCACGGCCGTGTCGTTTGACGAAATGTACAATGCTGCTGTGGCGCCTCCAGGACTCATTCGCTGCGGCCTCCCAACTGAGCGGCCTTGCTGCACGCGCGCGGCAGAATGCCTTGGCGGCGTCGCCGACTTGCGGGGGGAGTACCAAGGCGTAGTGGAAGATTTGCGGTTGTTGGTGGCCCCTGCGAGGTGCAAGACTGTCGGGAAGATGATGACCCTCCAGGTTTCAGGGCCTGGAGGCTGTGTGATGATTCGCAACTTCTCGCACTTGAAAAGTCATATTTTCACGGGGGAGTTCTGCGAGTGCGACGTGGTGGGGCAGCCATGCGGGCTCGGCGCGGCGCCCCCCGAGGTGCCATTCTCTCTGCGCCGGTGTTGGGTGGAGAGGAAGGGCCGCAGAGTGTTGAAGATGATGACTGAGATCGACGTCGCCCTCCACATCTTACGCGTGTGCGGGCGCGACCGGGCTGAGCTGCGCTGGGTCGAACTTCTTGCGCGCCCGCGCATGGGTTGCTCAGAGCTGTAGTATTCGGTCGATTGGGCGGAGGAGCGGGACTTGCACGAGGCGCGCCTCCACGAGAAGGACGTTGACCTGGCGACGGGCTGGTTCCAGGCGTTCGCCGACTCCCGCCCTGGCGGGGCTTCCGCCGACGGGGGGGGCAGCGGCGCGCGTGGCGGGGATGAGGAGCCTGACTACGCGAAGGATTGGAAGGCCGCTTGGGAGGCCGCCGCCGCCTGGCGGCAGAGAGGTCGCGGGGCGCAGGGTGCGGCAGAAGGCGCGCCAGCGGAGGCGCCTCCCGCAGCAGCGCCGGACGCCGCTCTGGCGCACGGGCCGCTGGGCGGCTACGCTGCGGCGGCGGCGCCGCCGCCGCCCCCCGCGGGCGCGCCGAGGCGCCCGCGCGTCGCCCGATACCCGCAGCTCCCACATCCCGCTGGGGCTGGCCGTCCTCACTACATTCGCCTTGTCGAGAACGAGGCCCTCGCCGTCTACGACATGCGCGCCGTCTGTGGCCTCCATCCAGGCTGTTCATGGAACCAGCAATCGAGGGTCAGACCATTGGCCGCTTTGTGGTGGTGGTTGGGGGAGGCCCCTGGATGCGGGAGCAAGGCAGACCATAAACAAAAGGTGCCCACGCCAGCGCAGATCGCCGCTGCTCGCGCGGTCCTCGAGGGCATGCCCGAGAGCCAGCCTTGGAGGGACTCGGAGGAGAGGCGGGCCAGTGGCGGGTGATCTTCCCGCCAGGACAGATACGAAGCGTAGGCGTGTAAAAGTGCATTTCTCAGAGCCGTTGTCGCCGCCGCGGCCGCCCGCTGCAATCGCGCAGCTGTCGCCTGATCGTTGCTCCAATCGCTGTTTCGCCGCGTCTCTCGGCGCAGCATTGTTCCCGAGCTGCGGCTAAGCTGCCGTCCGCGCCAGCGCCTCGCTGCCCGCCGCCGCGCCCGCCCCCTCGCTCCCCGCGATGTCCCGCGCGGAGACGGTGAAGGCATCGCCTTCCGACACCGACGGGGAGACGGAGAAAGCGCCGTCCCTGGCCTCGGGGTTGCGGCGGGGCCGCATGCTGCACGGCCTCGAGGTCGAGGGGCCCCCGTCATTGTGCACTTCCTTATGTCCTTCCTTTCTTTCGCCTCGCCTCCTTTCCTCCCTCTTGGCTCCCGTTTCCTCTCAGGTCGCCCTCGTGGTGGTTGGCCAGTGGGCTGGCTATCTGGTGAAACCTTTCAATAAGAAGGATGGTTCCAGCTTCACGTGCGGTCTCTGCGCCCACGAGAGCACGGACCCGAGCCCGTATCCCCAGGCGAGTAACGAGGACGAGTTCGGCGGATACTGGCCGTGGAAGTACCGCACCGACCATGGCAGCATGATCCGCCAGGCCACGGGCTATTTGTGCCTGGTTTGCAAGGCCCTGTTGCGCAAGAAGGCAGGCGGGCAAGGGACATTTCGCTGAAATCGAGCCCGCCGCTTTCAATTTTTCTCTGCCCGCGCGGGCTGCAAATTTCTATTTCTGATTTTTTTTTCTATTTCCCATTGTTTTTTTGAATTTCCGGCCGGTGAACATAAAACCGCCCTGGTGAACATAAAATCGCCCTGGTGAACATAAAAGTGGTTTTGGTGAACATAATTGTTTTTTGAATTTCCGGCCGGTGAACATAAAACCGCCCTGGTGAACATAAAATCGCCCTGGTGAACATAAAAGTGGTTTTGGTGAACATAACTTTTTTTGGGGGGGAAATGATTTTTTTCAATAAATTCACAAAAAGATGCAATTTTAAATTCAGCGCATTGCAATTCCGCGCAAGAGAAAAAGGGCAACCGGCAGAGGAATGCATTTTTTTCTGGTCGCGGCGAGGCGACTTCGAGCATTGCCGTTGGACATTCCACCTCCGCTCGATCCGCAGGGGTGCCCCGCCCGGCCTATCCTGCACGGGGCCCGACGCGACTCGAGTCCCGCGCGGCCCCGACCCATGTCCGACGCGATTCCGACTTGGTCCAGCCCCCTCTCTCTCTCTCTCTCTCTCTCTCTCTCTCTCTCTCTCTCTCTCTCTCTCTCTCTCTCGCAGGCGGTGCTCTTGGACCCCCACTTGCCTGGCGGCGAGAAGAAGCCGCTGAAGGAGTACATCAAGTGGGTGCGCCAGGATGCGGGCCGGGCGCAGACCGTGCGGCTCAAGGTGGATGCGTACGTCCAGAGCCAGGCGGGGAAGGACCCAGAGAAGCGCCGCCGCATGTCCAGGCAGGCCGCGGGAGACATCCAGCAGGCTCGCCAGGTATCTTCCGTCAAGGTCTCCGGGCGTCGCCTGTCTACGAACTGGCATCAAGCCTGCCCCGTGAGCAAGTGGCACGAGGCTTTCCCTGAGACGCCGCTGCCCACGGACCCGAATTGTCGCGGCGAGGAGCTCATCGACGGCGCCTGGCAGGAGGCGCGCTGCCAAGTCGTCTTCCCACTCGCTTCCTTCATCGTTGAAATGCCCTCCCTTTCTGCTCTCCTACTGGCAGGTTGTATATGTCATGAAGGACGGCGCGAAGAAGTTCTTGTACGACATCGCGGACTACGACGATCGCAAGGTGGAGGACAGGACGGCGCTGGCGACTGTGGCCGAGTCAGACGACGACGCGGACGCGGCTGAGGTTGCGGCTGCTGCCGAGGCCGCCGTGGCCCCAATTGCAGCCCTGCGGCGCGCCACGCAGTGCGCGGAGATCGGTGCAGCAGAGAGCGCGCCGTCGGAGGGGCACCAGTCCGACTCCCCCGCGAGCGACGAGGACGCCGAAGAGACGGATCTCGTGGCCGCGGCGCTGTTTTTTTTGTTTTTTTTGTTTATTTTTTGGTTTTTGTTTTGTTTTTTTGTTTTTGTTTTTTTTTTTTTGTGTTTTTTTTTTTTTTCTTTTTGTTTGTTTTTGTTTTGTTTTTGTTTTTTTTTTTTGTTTTTTTGTGTCTGTTTATTTTGTTGTTTCTTTTTTTTTTTTTGTTATTTGTTTTTTTTTTTCTGTTCGGGCCTGTGTTTTTGTTTTTGTTCTGTTTGTGTTGCATTTCTTTTTTTTTTGTTTTTTGTTGGGCTGGTTTTACCGTTTTTTTTTTGTTGTTTTCATCTGGCACATTTGTGATCTTTTGTGCTTGTCTTTATTTGTTTTTGTGCTGTGGGGCACGGCCCGCGCCGCCAAGCCCGCGCCCAAGGCTGCGACCAAGCCGCAGGCCAGACCACCAGCCCAGACGACCGGGGGGGCTACGTCCGGGCGCCCCGCCCAGACAGCCGAGAGGCCTGCCGCCAAAGGGGCTGCCACGCCCGCAGCCGCTGCCCCTTCGAAGTGCGCCGCGCCCTCGGCGCAGGCGCCGCCGAAGAGGTCAGCCGCCCGCGCCCCTGCTCAGACGGCCGCGCCCTCGGCGCAGCCAGCCGACGGCAGCGGCGCCAGTCCGCCCTTGGCGACCCCGCAGCGCTCGGGCCGGAGCCAGCCAGGGAAGAAGCGTGGCAGCGGCGGTTCGTGGGCCGCGCCCCTGCTCGCCCAGCCGCCCGACGACTCCGACGAGGGCGGCGGGCAGCCGGACGAGCCAGCACCTCTCGAGGACGGCTCCGCGTCGAAGAAGAGGGGGCGGAAGGCCCTCGAATTCAGCCTCACAGCGGCCGGCAGGAAACTCAAGGGCGAGGCCGACACGCTCTTCAACACGTTCCGGGAGTGTTACAAATTGCTCGTCTTCAGCGGAGATGTGGACCTGTCCACGAAGGAGGGGAGAGCCCACTTCAAGGCCACGGCTTTTGAGCAGGCGGCAGCCGCAGAGAGCGCCATCCACACGGCCAAGAAGGCAGCGGCCAAGCTGGGGAAGATCCCGGATGACGGCGCGCAGGCGCTGCAGATCAACAAGGCGTGGCTGGCGCGCTCAGAGGAGGCGCTGGCCGCGGCAGTGCGGGTCGTCAAGGCGGAGTGGTCGCGGTCGTGGTCGCGTTCGCGGTCGTCGTCGTCGTCGTCGATGGAGGAAGGGAGGAGGAAAGGAGAAGGACGATAGGGGGAGAGGGAGGAAGGGAGGGGGAAGGCAGGAGGGGGGGTAGGAGGAAGGAAGGCGGAAGGCAGGAGAAAGGGAGGAGGAAGGGACGCGGAAGGGAGGAGGAAGGGAGGAGGAATGGGGGAGGAAGGGAGGAGGGGGCTACAGTGCGCATTCAGTTGTTCATTCCTCTTTGTGAACGGGGGCTTGGAGGCCCCCGGCCCAGATCAAAGGAGGCGGCGGAAGCGGAGGAGGAAGAAGATTGAGCGATGGGGGACCAGAGGAGGCGGAGGAGTCCGCAGGCTGCTGTGAGCGAGAAGCCAGGGAACACCGAGACTCTCCTGAAAGACACCGAGATCGCCGCGGCGGAGGACATCGCGTTCGGCGTGGCGTGCCACATGCGGTTCAGGAGCTGGAAGGCAGACGAGGCCATCAAGCGCTGCGATTGGTTACAGCTGATGTCCCTGTTGGAAAGCGGTGCTGCAGATGGCGCGCCCTCGGCAGATCTCGCGACGACGACCCTCGAGCGAGTCGGCGCGGGCCTGATTTCGGCCGTCGCGAAGTCGGACGCCAAGAAGGGAGGCGGATCGTTTGCTGCCGTGGTTGCCTTCGCTGGCGCCGCGCGGGATGCTCTCCAGCGGGCCCCCGCCGACCCTGCGCGGCCAGTGTGGGAGGAGGAGCTGAAGGGTCAAATCCAAGTTCTCTGGGCAGTGTCGCGCGCGAGCACTGCCCCGCTGACTGAGGTGGGGGAGGCGCTGGAGGCGCTCCCGCAGCTGGAGGGGGCCTTGGGCGTCGCTTTGAACACGAGCCTGGGCGGCAAAGTCCTCGTTGGTTGGGCGGAGTCGGCCATGAAGAAGCGGTCCCACGAGGAGGCTGCTCTCCAGTGCGCCCAGGCAGCCCGGGAGCTCTTCGCGCAGGTGACGGGCCATGCCGCCGGGGAGCAGTGGCAGAATTGGACCGAGGAGGTGTCGCGCGCCTGCAACCTGCAAGAAGCAGAAGGAGGCCGTGTCCAAGGCGGGCGCGCTGCAGGAGGCCGACCGGCACCAACTCGCCAGGGAAGGCCGCGGGCGGGCCTCCGCAAGATCGCGAGTCCGTTCGATGAGGTTCGAGGGTTTCCGATCCGCCATTGGTTTTAGTTTGGCCGGTGCTGCTGCGGCGCGCCTGATTTTCTCCTACTTGAGCATGGGATGTTTGACCTCGCCGTTGCCTGTGTTTGCCTCCTGTCGAGGCACGGCGTTCGAGGACGTGGTCCTCGGGTTGCTCTTGCGCTCGCCCCGCGAGGAGGTGGGGCGAGCCGCGGCAGGCCTGAGGAAAGATTCCTTGTCCGAGAGCGAGAAACAGGACACAGACAGATGAACCACCCCCGGACCCCGGACCGCCAGAACGATCAGGAGGAAGTGGAGGCGGAGGAGGGAGGAGGATGATGAGGAGAACACCTTGTGCCAGAGGTGCTGCAGCAGCGCGCCTTCTCAATGTAGTTTGGGCGCCGAAACGCGTTCTCCAGAGGAGCTCCTGACTGCCGCGTGCGTCGAGCGGCTGGAGTTGGAGCACGGCTGGTCGACCGTCGAGGAGTGGGCGCCTGATGGCATCAAGGGCCCCCACGAGACCGCCTTCGGGGCATTGAAGAAGATCGCCGACATCGCCGCGTACAGCCGTCTCGACGTACCTGGGATGAAGCAGCCAGTGAAGACAGCCAATCGGTTGTGCGACCTCTTGAAGGAGAGCCCCGAGGCGTTGTTGAAGGTCTGGCGTGACAGCGTCTGCGGAAGACAACGTAGAGGGGCTGCAGTCGCTGTTCTCCCTCGCGCTGGGCACGGCGGCGCGTGTGCGCAGGGCCTTGGGCCACAGCGTTCTGGCCAGAGCCAAGGGTGCAGCAGAACAGTCTCTGAAGCGCGTGGACTCGGCGGCGTGGCAACGGAAGGAATTGCAGGCCTTCTTGAATATCTCCAAGCTGCTGCGCGCGGAGCCGCCCGAGGACACCTGGAAGGAAGCGGACATGTGGCTGTGCAGCGTCGCGGCCGTCGCCGACGCCAAGGAGCTTGCCGAGCAGGCCGGGGGCGAGCTGAACCTGGAGCTGTGGGAGAACGCGAGCGACGCCGTGCGCCAGCTCGGGGACATGGTGCAGCCGGAGCGCGCCTTCCAGACGGCCATCGCGAAGACTTTCGACGCTTCTCTGGAAGATGTGGAGGCAGCAGTGGGGGCCAGCAAGGAGCTGCACGCGCAGGCCGTGCCATGGCTGGAGAAAGTCGCGCAGGGGCGGGCTGAACGCTCCGTCAAGCGGTTCGACGCCGAGCCAGCCGTGCGCGCCGCGAAGGAGCTTCTTGAGAGGAGCCCCATCCCCGAGACGCTGCAGGAAGCGGCCGAGTTCTTAAAGGTTGTCGGTGGCGCCGTGGACATGCCGGAGACCTTCGGCGGCAAGGGTGGGAAGATGGTTGATGCTGTCAACAAGGTGCGCAGATCCTTGTTCGCCGTCTTCCCCAGCTCCTCGTGTTCCTTCACCAGCCCCCCGCTGTCTCATCCCACCGAGCCCCCCTCGTTCCCAGTACATTCCGCCGCGGCTCCTCCTCGC